CTGGGAGACCCCTTGTCTTGCACTGAGCTGCTCTGGTCCTTACTGGGAGAGCCCTTGTCTTGCACTGGGCTGCTCTGGTCCTTACTGGGAGAGCCCTTGTCTTGCACTGGGCTGCTCTGGTCCTTACTGGGAGAGCCCTTGTCTTGCACTGGGCTGCTCTGGTCCTTACTGGGAGAGCCCTTGTCTTGCACTGGGCTGCTCTGGTCCTTACTGGGAGAGCCCTTGTCTTGCACTGGGCTGCTCTGGTCCTTACTGGGAGAGCCCTTGTCTTGCACTGGGCTGCTCTGCAACACGGTGCCCCATCTCCCCCCCCCGGGAGAGCCTGGAGTTTGTCCCCGGTTGTCCCGTTTTTTTACCGGGACACCCCACACGGGGCTGCCCCCGTTCCTGACCGGGAGACCCTGCACTGAGCTGTTCCGTTTCCCACCGGGAGATCCCGCACCGGGCTGCCCCGTTCTCCCCCGGGAGACCCCGCACCCCACTGCCCTAATTCCAACCCCCCGGGAGAGCCTGGACTCTGTCCCGGGCTGTCCTGCACCGGGCTGTCCCGGTCCTTACCGGGAGACCCCGCACCGGGCTGCCCCGTTTTCCCCCGGGAGAGCCCGTATCCCGCACCGGGCTGCCCGGTTCCCCACCGGGAGACCCCGCACCGTGCTGCCCCGTTCCTTACCGGGAGACCCGGCACCGGGCTGCCCCGTTTCCCCCCGGTAGAGCCCGTATCCCGCACCGGGCTGCCCCGTTTCCCCCCGGGAGAGCCCGTATCCCGCACCGGGCTGCCCCGTTCCCCACCGGTAGAGCCCGTATCCCGCACCGGGCTGCCCTGTTCCCCACCGGGAGACCCCGCACCGGGCTGCCCCGTCCCTTACTGGGAGACCCCGCACCGGGCTGCCCCGTCCCTTACCGGGAGACCCCGCACCGGGCTGCCCCGTCCCTTACCGGGAGACCCCGCACCGGGCTGCCCCGTTTTCCCCCGGGAGAGCCCGTATCCCGCACCGGGCTGCCCCGTCCCCCACCGGGAGACCCCGCACCGGGCTGCCCCGTT